GAAGCAGCGGTTACACTGAGGACGCAGAAACGTGAGGTAGGTAGGGGTGGGTCCTGTGAGCACCCAAACAAAAAAAAAGAAAAAGGAAAAAAAAGAGATAGGCCGTTGGTCCCCTGAGCTGCATTGAGAAGTGATTGCTGATGTTCGTAGGGGAAGGGGACCAGAGGGGAGGCACCGTGAATCGCCCTTCTTGGTCCAGATGCTACCGGCTCTAGTGTCGCCCATCTGCAGGTCGGGTGCAGCCCCCGAATGTTCCCTCGTTGGAGGCTGAAACTCAGGCTGGCTACTACGGGGAAAGGTGGTCGCCTGATGATCTGGCGCGAGGTCCCACTACCACAGAGGATTATATTTAACGCATGAATCTGGACGTGTTTGAGGACAGATGCAGAAAACCGTGATTGATCTGCTCTTCTGCATCTCCGCTAAGAACCTATCTAGATTCAGGTTCTTAGTTCGATCCACTTTGTTAGTTGGACCTTGCCCCCGGTGGCCGGATGATTGATAGATGGGCCACGGGAAAACCTACTGGGCTAGCCAGGCCCAAAGCCCGGCCCAACGGGCCCAAATCTTTCCCGTTTGCTGCGTTTGGGTAGTAGGCTCCTTCACACAACGGTAAATTGATGTAAACACCAATCACTCACAAAAACGGGGCCAGAAACAAAGCAAGCACAGCCTATGTATCCGAAATTGGATTCAACGGGGGTTTCCCGTTGAACCCCCGTTAGAACTCCGCGTTGTATCAAGTTTAACGCGGTACAACGCGGCCCGCAGAAATTTTTTCCGCCGGGAAAAAAATGTGCAAAAAGAAAAAAAACAAATAGGGGGGTGTAAATTTTTCTGCGCTCTACATCCCCATTTTTTTTTTTTTTTTTTTGTGCATGGTTTTGAATTTTAAGAAATAAAAAACCGAAACGGTGGTGTAGGGAAAGGTGTAAACAGGGAGCAAAAAACGAATTACAGTGAGGGGGGGGCTGTGGGGGAGGTGACGAGCCGCGGGTGGCGGGGGGATAATGATGGCGGGGTGCCCAGATCGGACTGTTTTCTACAACACCGCAGAAAACTCCGCACTGGTAAGGCAGCTGCCTGGCAGCAAACGACAAGAGATCGGCCATAAAAAGACCGATTCTCGATTGTCTTCTGCGAGGCATTGCGCGGCGCTACAGTCCGTTGTGACAAGCGCATCACGGGGGCGTTGTAGAAAGGCCGACCACGGAGGTTTGACGGGGTTTAGCGTGCATTCAACCGCGCATTGGACGTTCAACGACGTTCGACGGGGGTACGACGAGGGAACAACAGAGGAACTTTTTGATCCCGATCCCGCCTTCCTGATCCCGATCCCGCCTTCCCGATCCCAATCCCG